TTCCTCCTCTTCTGTTGCGTAATCTTCTTCTCCTCTTTTACTCCACACATATTGATCCCAGTGAAGGATGTTCCTCCAACGCCTCCTCCTCACTGTCACCCCCCCTCCCCCGACCCCCCCGACCATTGGTAATGAATAATAAGAAGTGGAACAGAATGTTTGACGTCATCAGCGGCCGTGCTACTGGAGCGGTCCTGTCTTTTATAAGACATACGGTAACAGAAACATTGTTTATGACTGGCTGAACAAGTTTCCATGTTAACTGTATAGTTACACCAGTCACCGTCAACAAATCCAAACAACCGTGACTGACTGTAGTGTCGTTTAGTTTTTGTTTTTCCATGGCTAACGTTTTGTGACGTGTGCAGAATTGTAACACACACATTTACGTATTTATGTTCACACTCGTCCAGCTCTGTTCGGCTGTCGCACCCTCAGAGCACCGCAGGTTTTTAATATTTTAAATGTATTCTTGTATTCTGGATTTTTCTGGAATATAAAATATTTTTTAAAATTTCCAATATTATTATCTTTGTGAAAACATTTTCTAGCCTAGGAAAAAACAGTTAAAAAATAGTAAAAAAAAAAAAAAAAATTAAAAGACATTTTGTAACACCATAAGCCAACACAGCTGATTGGCTGAAACATTACCTGACGTGTGCCGGCGCTGGTTGACAGTAGTGACCGGAGCTGCTGCCAACAGCTGTAGAGGCTTTAACCAGACACCTGCAGAGTTGTTCCTGCGTCAACACTTAACAGCAGTGGACGTTTGACAAAATGCTGACAGTGACGACCTGTCGTCTGCTTCTCGGGTTTAACTGTGGTGTCGCGACGCGTCGACTTTCTTTACCCACGGGATGGAGAACTGGATAGTAGTTGGAATAAATCTGTACTGGTTACATTATGGGTCAGGAGTGCAGTAAAATAATACGGTAAACAAGTTCGTACGTGTTCCTGTGACACGAGTCATTTAAACTAATGTTTTTCAAGAACAAGTGAAAAGATAAAAAAAATATAAGAAATTGTAGTGAAATAATGGAAAAGTAGCTAAAGAAAAAATAGTGAAAAATTGGGTTTGTTAAAGTTAAAGGTCAGACGTTTGATAATATCGACCAACCGATATTTTCAGCCAATATTAGCAAAATTATTTAATCTGTAAAAATTGTAAGAATCAGTTTTTCTTCCAACCAGGAAAAATAATGTGTGTCCTAAAAATAGTTTTGGGGAAAAACGACTGCATATTAAAGTGAAAGTCACTAGAGGGCAGCATTGCAGCTCATTTTAATAATCTATTTTAATAATCAGAGGACTGGATGCAGAATGCTGGTCGCAGTAGCACAAATAAAACATTCCCAGACTTCTAATGGGATCGGTTGATATTGGAACAGAAGTGTTTGGACGGGATCTGCATATCAGATATCTACAAAAAGTTAATATCAGACATCCCTACTTATATAACATCTAATAATCGTTCCCACTGACCTACAGAATACATTTTCATGTCAGTTTCCCATGTTATTTATTAAGCGTCCATTTCATTAATAATTTGTGGAAACGTTTGTTTCCTCGAGCGTGTTCCTCACATATGGGAACACGTCGGCCAACGGTCGACTCCTAATAACAGGTCTGCACTAAAACCACACAGAGTTTCTTATTTTTCACAGTCTCAGACTCTGCAGCGTCAAAGAGTGAACCCTGTAGACCAACATCAACCACCTTCACTGTCAACCACCGCTGGACTGAGTTTTCTTTCCTGTTTCACTGTGTCTAAACAAAGGAGCTCCAGGTGAATTATTATTAAATTATATAAATTAATATGATTATGATTACTAATAATCACAAATTAAAATTATTATTTAGATTCTGGTCTGCTGCGAGTCATCAAATTTGTTTTCTTGTTTTTTTTTCTAGGATCCAAGTAGTGAAACAGACAGAACGACATCATCAAAACAAGGTTAGTCAGGATTTATTCCTCCAAAAAAAAAAAACCTCTTCATTTTACAGTTTAAAAAATAGATTACAATTGTGAGATAAAAACAAAACTCCTGTCAGTGACAAAGACAAAGACAAATCTACAGTAATCTTCATGTACTAACCAGTCGTGCCATGTTTGACCTAAATAACGACCTCGATCTGGTCGACCACGATGGATCAGAGCCCGTTAATCCTAAACATCACATCTGGGAGGCTCCACGACAGAGACTGAACTGAACTGATCAGTCTGTGAGAGACTCACACTGATCCGGGTCTGGTTTAATCTTGGACATTAAAACCGATAATTATCGAACATCCCTAAAAAACATCATAATAATCTTAATGGAGTTTGTGGGACTTTAATGTTCAACCAGTTGGAGATAATATTTTAATTCATAATGTAACTGAACTCTTTAAATGTCTTTTGTTGATTTCTTTATTATTACTTTTGTATCTGCTTCAGTTCTCGATTCTTTGTTTGTTTGGTGAGAATCTCTCTGTTTCACCTGCCGAGGGACTACTGGCCAAACGCAATACTACACCTTTTATTTTTAAAATTAATTATTTTATTTTATTTTTTTTTTCTGTGTGAAATACAAACGTGTATGAAGTGCCACTCGTGACCTGCCCAACTGTTCTGCTTCAGCTCCCCGTGTCCTGACACATTCAGGTCCCACAAATGCTGTTGTCAATCAGTGCTCGCACTTCCGGTTTGGAGCTCACCGACACCACGGCTGCATCTGGATAGTACGCGTCCACGCCTACCACTCTCTCCCCCCGTCCCTCCCTCCCTCCCTCCCTCCCTCCCTGCCTCTCTCCCCCCTCCCTCCCACCGTCTCTGCTCTCTCCCAGCTGCACACTCACTCGTGCTGTGCGCTTTTTCACGGCGGACACTTGTCCTGCTCCTTCTTCCTCACCTACTGCTTCTGACCTCCTCTCTGTTTGTTCTTCGATGGCCGTTCGTGGCGTGATTCGCGTCAAGCAGCGCGATAGTTAATGCTAGCCGGATGCGCCCTCACTCCAGCGGACCGCTACAGTACGAAGATGGCGTCGGAGGGAGCCAGCGGAGAGCAGCTTCCCCCGGTACAAACACTGGTCACCGCCGTGCTGGGAAGCGTCGACGCGGTAAGTGACACGCGGCGGTTTTACAAACGCGCCACGGACGACTCTGTCGTCTCGCCTTTGTCTGCGTGCGTGGCTTTTGCGCAGAAGTGCGGGCAAAAGTGAGCGGAGCGCAGTGCGCATCTATTTCGCACAGGATCCCAGATCTACAGCGGTGGACAGCGGGATCCTGGCGACGATGTCTGGGGGGAAAACAAGAGGCCGGTGCGGTCTGGGCAGCAGGAGGAGGAGGAGGAGGAAGAGGAGGTGGTAGATGATCCACGGCCACGGAGGCTGACTCTGGATCAGTCCCGCGGCCACTTCTTTTGTTCTCCTCCAGAACATCGATCCTGCGGTTCTTTTTGTTGTTGTGAGAGAACGAGCAGCAGCAGCCGCTGTGGCTCCACACAGGTTGTTGTAGCTCATACACATGATGACGGTGTGTCAGTCAGTCAGTCAGAGTGTGGGCTGCACCACACAGTCCACAACCTGAAAATAGCAGCTTTATCACGGTTGCTGCTGCTGCTCCTGCTCCCTGACCCCCTGTCGGTGACCACATGTCAGCTGTAGTCGTCCACCGTCACGGTCCTCCTGTCTGTAACGTCATCCATCCTGTTTATACTGTGATGTCACAGCTGCACATTGATTATGGACACAAAAATAATTGTAAAAATTAAAAAGTCTGGTAGAAAATAGTTACTGAAAACAAATCCACTGAGGTTTTGGGTTTGGAGGAATGTAACGCTGTGTTAATCGATTTCACTTTTTTTAAATATATTTTTAAAATTTTGCAAGTGATGAATTTTATGAAGCCACTAGGTGGCAGTAATGCAGAGGAGCTGTCAAAATCAAAAGTGTCAGCTTTGTTTTTAGCTAAGTAAAAAAAAAATCAATGGTGAGAAGTTGGGCTAAAAACCTGTGTGTGTCTCATCTGTGTGAGATCAGAGGTTGCAGGTTCAAAGACGCCTGATGTTGGTCAATGTGATAAATAACAAATGCAAGACTACGTTGTTGTATTTTATTGGGTCCTAAAAGTACTAATCCAATTTCACTTAATTGGTCCGAAAAGTACTATTTTTTTTATTTGGGTCACCATAGCTGTTGAAGAAGATCTCTGTGAGTCTTTCTTCAATTCCTGCCAGTTTATCAGTGTTGTCTTCAACTAAACAGGAGTTCATTTTTAGTCAATTTAAACCAGAAGATTATTATATTTCATCACAAAGACTTTTGGTCAGATTTTTGTTTGTTGCTGTGACGTGGCTCATCACAGGTCAGGAAACCCTGTTGTATTTGATAGAACTGGTTGCTGGTTCCAATGCTGTTGCTCGTCTCTCTCGACCGTTGCTCTGTTGGTGGCCAGAACCAGACGTGTTCCCGTCAAAGCGTTCCTTTGTTCAGCCCCACATGTTTACACACACCTAGTCGTGATGTGTCGCAGCGGCTGCAGCAAACTGTCAGTACCCTGACCCCCCACCAGGTGATCAGTCTTTGGCCTCTGTCAGCGGGAAGCCGTGAAGCTTGGTCGGTTATGAAGTTTTTGTTGAGTGAAACGGCAGAAGAGGCACTTGTTGAGAGCAGAGACTGAAGAGCTGGGTTAGAAATGAAGCTCCAGTCGTGGGCGGGAGGGCGACGGTGGGGGGGTGTTTCTGAGAGCGCTGGGAGAAGTGCAGCCTGTGGGGGTGGATGCAGGGCAGAGGCAGTGTGGTCACAGGGGGGGCGGGGGTGGGTGGTGAGGTGGAGGCCCTGTTCACCAGACACCTTTCTAAATTGGTCTTAATTTCAGTGACTCAGCGGGCATAGCTGGGAGTACCGTGTCAGAACTGCCCCGGGCGTCGGGCGAACAGGTGCTCCTCAGTCATGGGTTCCAGGCTGCCTCCTCATCTCACCACGACCAGGCCGGCCTCCCTACAAAAAGGGGGCGCCACCTCTACCTCTACCTCCACCACTGCCACCGGCGCCCTCTTCACGCCACAGTTAAATAAAGCACTCTCCACGTTGTTGACCCTCGGTGGGGGAAGTTAGTTGTTTGTGAAGATTTTGAAGCACCAGCTCTAATGGTGCAGGTCAGAGGTCAGTGCAAGGCACGCTGCTGGTCACCGCCCACTCATTTAACAAAATACATGTGATTGTAGCCTCCTAGCCTGATTGTAGCCTCCTAGCCTGATTGTAGCCTCCTAGCCTGATTGTAGCCTCCTAGCTTGCCCTAGTACTGTTGTAAACCCTGTTGTTATTGGTAAAATATTTTTGACTACCAATCCTGTGTGTAATCTCTTGTTTGACTGTAATATTCAGAGTGAGTCCTGTTGTATTTCTGATGTGATATTCCTCTGAGGTGAGAAGTCTTCGTGGAGTTTGACTCAGGATGAAGGCTGTCAAACGTAACGCTCCTCTTCCAGTGTGACACGTTGGCCACGCTGATCAAACCTGTTGTTGTTTTAACACTTGCTGTGGACGGTTGTGTAATGGACTCCTGTGGTTATGTGGGTTAGACTGCCAGGTTGGCGAGGTCATGTGATCATGTAAACAAGTGTGATCACAGAGGATGAGTAGTCGTGTTACACCTGTTAAAGTCATGCTTCTGTCAAAATACAAAAACAAAGTTTGTGACACGACCATCCAAATAAATCACCTTTGGTTGTATTTGCCCAGGTTTGTTTTTATCTTTTCATGAAAGTACTATAAAAGTATTTTTCATTAGGAAAATCCTACAGCAAACAGAAAACTGACCAAAAGTATATGTAATGAAATAAATAATATGAAAATGAAATAATAACCTTCTGGTTTAGTTGAAGACAACGCTGATCTACTGGCAGGAATTGAAGAAAGACACTCACAGAGATCTTCTTCAACAGTTTGTTAGCAGTGAATGTTCTCTCTGTTGCAGCACATGATTCAGCACTAAAGGAATCATGGGTTGTTTTTAGAAAACACAGCAGTTTCCTCCCCCGGAGACACAGCCTGGACATTGGACATTGGACATTGGTTGTAATAAGTGGACCGGGACTAACTGTGAGTCTCAGCCGGGCTGCTCTCGTCCTCGGAGCACAGCTCACAGCTCACGGAACAAATTAGCGTTTGATTCCCTCACCTGCTCACTGTGGTGAAATGTGAGGGTGAGTGGGGTGAGACGGTGTTTTTCATTTCCTCCCTTCACCTCACCCGACCTCACCCGACCTCACCTACCACCCAGGGTCCCATGACAGGCCCAGTAAACTTGGTCTCCAGGCCCAGAGCCTTTATAAAATGTTCCATTTCTTCATTAAATCACGAACATTGACTCCACGTGCGGTGACATAAATAACGTTAGTCACTGGAGGATTTTAAAGGACGCGTAGAAGCAGCCGATTGTTACAGACTCACTGGCCTGTTCAAAGTCACCGTTTGTGCACGGCGCCTCTGGAACTGTGCACGTGACTCTGATGAAATGGGAAAGTCTCGGCTGAGGGTCGGAGCGTTGGCCGGTAAATCATTTTTTGTTAAAGATAAAGACCGTTTACTAAAGTACAAACAAAAAAATTAAATAATAACTGAAAATAAATCAATAAATATTTATATCAAGGGCCAAGTAGTCGGGCCAGTTGTGGGGGGGTTCAAAAGTGGCCCCCGAGCCAGGACTTTGAGCCCAGAAGTCTAGAGAGGTTTTTAAAATGCTTTTATTTTTTATTGTCCTTGTTGTTATTTGACGTATTTCTTTAGATGTATATACTTTCGTACCGGTTGTGGTTGTCGTTCCTGCTGGTTCCAGATTAAGGTCCTGTCTGTGGTGAACATATTTTTGGAGACGTTTCTGTCACTGTTTACAGCCGTCCAGTCAAGAATTTCACCAATTTCCCTCAGTGAGGATTTACTTTCAATGAGAACAATTCCTTTGAATGTTCTTCACGGCAGCAATTTGACGCCGACCTCAGGAATGTTGGCCGACCAGTGGGGAAACGCAGGGAGCTCACGCTGAGAAGCATTCTGGGAATGGAATGCCTCTCTCACCTACCTGCGAGACCATCACCAAGTTGTCCTTCGTTGACCTTTGACCTTCCTTTTAGGCTCCTGTTCCTCAAATATGAGGACGAGCAAACGGCCGGTGGCCAGAGCTAAAAATACACCACATGTTGACACAATCAAATTAGCCACTTTATCTTAGCTTCTCCTGTAAGAAAAGAACTGCAGCATCGCCCTGTGGAGGGAACGTCACAGGTGGAGAACTGCAGTTCCTGCAGAGGGGAAGAAAAAACAACCTGATAAATCCAAGGACAAAATCCCATCTTCTTAGAGCAGAATTGAATCTCCCAGAAATACTCTGGCGTTTCTATTTCTATAAGAACCCACAGTGAGACTTTGTAGCACGACATGATTCATAGTCGGCCTGGAAGTGATGCCACAGTCTTCTCCACAAATGAGCTGCACCGTCGTACAGTCGAAGAAACTGGATCAGTGCAACACACACACACACACACACACACACTTTTATAACTAAACCTGGGAGATTGCTCTTAATTGGCACGAGGGGAGCAGCACGCGGCGCTCTGGTCATTCCCGATTACAGTCATCTGCAGCCGTTTACTCTGCGCTCTGCTGCGATTGGCCAAATAGATTCCTTAACGACCTAGCTAAATGTAATTACAAGTTATTAAATTAGGTGGTAGTTGGCGTTCCAGACGCGTTTAAGGGCGACACAGAGTTAGAGGAGCGGCGTTTATCAACCTTCAAATTAAAGTTCATGTATTTATACTTGAATATATAAATCATATCAAATCAATCATTTATATTCATATATATATATATATGTTCAGACCCATGTGTATCATTAATAATATCGATGTGAACTTTATTGATCCCACACTTGGGACTGTAGTCCAGTACTGCCCCCCGGGGGTCAGTCCCACTTCCCCCCCGCGTGACCTTCACTGTCATGTTCCTGCTCTGTTTCAGAAATGTGAGTTCAACATGGACAACCTGAGCAAGCCTGAGCTGCTCACTCTGCTGAGCATCATGGAGGGAGAGCTGGAGGCTCGAGACCTGGTGATCGAGGCTCTGAGGGTGAGTCCGCACACACACACACACACACACACACGCGGACTTGTTAACGGTGTTATCAGAGCTGAGTTGTCGTCGTTGTCGTTTGAAGGATGACTGTTCTGTTTGAATGTGATGTGAAGGCTGAAGAAATGAGCCTCAGTTTGAGCCACGTCCCACTGTTTTTTTTATTCTCTACCCATGAGCACTCTCTCTAATTGCCTTTGTTACACTGGAGTGGACTGAGTGACTCAGTGGAAGTCCGCTCCGTGCCACAGAGACCAGTGTGGTCAAATCTGTGTCCTTCTTCAGGAAACGAATGAAGGAAAAGTACCAACAAAAAACAAACTGCGTTTCAGCTCGACAGCAGAACTGTGAGATTTCCTCCCTGGTGCACGCTGCTGAGTTGTGTTTTCACTTGAGTAGTTTGATATTTTTCCCAGTCTATGACAAATTATTGTCTCCATTAGTCTTGAAGCAGACAAGCCAAACAGTACCGGGTTCCAAGTTTACTTTTTACACCAGGGCTGACTGAGTTTGTTTTAGGAATAATTAGTTTTTTTCTTTTTCAGCTTTTTGCAGAAACAACACGTTGCATTTATGGTGACAACAGTAGCTGCAGCTCTTAAATAAAGCTGAACTGCCAACACGAGCTTTTAATGGTTGTGATTATTAGCTGACGTTCTGCACGAGGTCGTAGTCGGCGAGTGCACTGGTTTTTAATGAAGTGCAGCGGTTGATGTTGTTTTAACGCCACTGCTGATGAGGCTGTCGGTGGATCAGTGGTTCACGGAGGTCCAGCTCAGGGTTCTCCAACAAACAGAAATCTGACCAAAAGTCTCTGTAATGAACTAATAATAATCTGCTGGTTTAAATGACCTAAAACCTCAGCCTGTTTAGTTGAAGTCGACGCTGATTTACTGGCAGGAATTGAAGAAAGACACTCACAGAGATCTTCTTCAACAGCTCTGAGTATCTTTTTTTTAGTTTTAATAGAAACATTTTACGCAATAAATTAATGATAGTTTCCAGACCAATCAAGTAGAATTTGATCATCTTCCTCAGCACAACTAATGATCTCTCACGACACACCAGTGGGCCACGGCACAGGGGTTGGGAACCACTGGTCCATGTCAGAACTGCCTCTGTTGTTATGTCAGACAACGGGGCAGAAGGTTGAAAGTTTTACGAGTTTTTCTCTTCAGTGTCCTGTGACAAACCTTGCAGGTGCAGTAAAAGTGGACAGTATGATGTTAGAGCCGTAAATCTGTGGCGTCCTGGTGAGACCTGTGTCACTGACCAACAGGAAGTGGTCGCTCTCTCTGCACCGGCAGGATTTCTGAGTTATTTCTGAACAAACCCATTACAATTCCCCTGTCTCTCTCCCCCTCTCTCTCTCTCTCTCCCCCTCTCTCTCTCTCTCTGCTGCTCTGTATTTAGGTCGTCTCAGCTCGCCCACGCTCTAGTTAAAGGCCGTCCTCAGGTTTTTTTAAACGGCCCCTGAATGCACCACACGTACTCCACAATTAGCCTGTTCACATGTCGGAGGTCGGGTCAGGGATCTGTTCATTTTGCCGTAGCTTTGCTGCGACTTTCTCAGACCCTTGGTTTAATTCTGTTGATAGTGATCAGTGTTTCCCAACCACTGGTCTGGGGACCAGCACCGGGCTGTGGATCATTTGGTGCCTGTCCGCAAAGAAAGAATAAAACGTTTCATTTTGAAGTCCTGTAGAGTAAGGTGTCAGCGTGGGTGAGCAGTCGTAGAGGCGTCACAGGGACCATGATGCTCTGCTTCAGTTTCACGTTTGTTCTTTTGAATCATTTCTTTATTTTCTTCAGTCTGTATCTACACCACGTTAGTCTCCGTCATCTCTTTTCTCTGTTCCACCTTCGATGGCTCCTCACCCTGGTTTTTAAGGCAGAGTCTGTCGAGGCTCCATTTTCACTGGATAGATATCCTGTCCATGTTTCAATAAAATAAGCTCCTGGCTGCTGCCGTCACGGCTCCTGGGAAACACAATGGGCCTTCTTGTTCTGCCGCAGATAAGCCCCGTCAGAAATGGAGAAGGAAAGACAGACGGGGTGAGGAAGGAGGCTTAAGAATAAAACGTTTCATTTTGAGAAGAGCTGGGTAGGATGGAAGAGAGAGAGGGAGAGAGAGAGAGAGAGGGAGAGAGAGCCCAGATTCATCAGTGTGAATCAGAGTGAGGGCGACTGAGGAGAGATGTAGGAAAGAAGAAAACCACGAGTGTTGGCCTGAGGTGATGCCTGTCAGAGCAGGACAGTGTGACGGAGAGGATTAAAGCAGAGCTCTCAATTCACCCACCTCTCTCACAAACCCCCCCGTCCCCTCCGTCCCCCCCCCGAAATAACCTTAAAGAAAGCCTCATCTGGACACTGGATCTGGGCCTGGACAGAGCTGACCCTCCTCCTTCTTCTTTTTTAAATTTTTATTTTATTTCAAATCCGTTACAAATCAGGGAAACCTCCCTCCGTCGTCAGCCGAACTCTTGGTCCGTGACTTTCACACCAGCGGCGTCTGGACCAAACGTCCAAAGTTCAAGAACAATTGTAGCCGTTGTTTGGTTGTTGTGTTAAGACGCTTTGGTTTCGGCAAATTAATGAGCACAAAGCTAAAGCTGGCTGAGCTGCTGTATCTGGTTTCAGCCTGGAGACAAAGGGAGGAGGCCGTAAGCCGATTGGCCAAAGGACACCAATATGACAGCGTGTTTAACCCGCTTCCACGAGTCAACGGTTCCTCCGTGCCAGCCGTCTTCCGGGGGGCATTTGGAGGGTAAATTCTAACCCAGTTCCCAGAACAGCTTCAGTCATTACGACTGTTTCTGATCTGGTTTCTAACAAAGACGTTGTCGATGCTCGACACCAGAAGTGAAGCATCGAGTCTGAATGTCATTAAAAATTCAAACATCGCAGGCATTAGCAGGTACTGCATCTGTCAGAGCCAATGGAATCCAACGAAGACGTTTTTATTTTTAACAAAACACGAGTTTAACTACAGGATGGACGGGGCTACGTCAGCATCTCTGCCTCTTAGCAACCAGGCTAATGTAGCGGTGGTTTGATATTCTGTCCTGTCGATGTTGACTGTGTCCAGACAGTGTGGACAGTTGGTGGACAGTTGGTGGACAGTTGGTGGACAGTTGGTGGACAGTGATGAGGCCCAGCGGGAGACGACGATCGTACATTGTATATTGTTTATTACAGTTTATTTCAAGTGCAGTAGAACGTGAACGTGGTTTCATAGTTTAGTGTTAGCACGTCTGCTTTGTTAGCAGAGAGGCCTGAGTTTGATTCACCACCAGGGGGCAGCCTGTTGCCGCAGATCTGCCGCTAACATCAGTAGTCGTAGTAAACCTGTACTGCTGTTTAGACTCTGGTCCATCTGCAGACAAAAACAGTGTCTCGTCTTATTTAACTTTTATTTTTTCTTTCTATCTGCAGACAAAAACAGTGTCTCGTCTTCTTTAACTTTTATTTTTTAATACAATTTTTTTTCTTTCTTTTTTTCGATCTTGAAGTTGCTATTCAAATCAAATCCGTGGAACGCAGACCCACCACGGTCCAGCCTCATATGGACCGTCCTCCCTTCGGCGTCACATGGACTCACAGAACTCATAAATGTCCTGTCACCACCGCTGCTCATATATACATGCTCAGCACACACACGCACACACACACACACACGCCCGGGGCCGTCAGACTTCCTCCGACGTCACGTTTTCTCCGACCATCCAGTTATTTCAGGCGTGCTCTGTTGCCAGGCTTTTCCACGTCTCTGCTCCCACACACACTCAGATCTTTCTGTCCTCGTCTAGAGTTTGTCTCAATCTTTTTAGACACCCCGCCCCCCGCTCACCCCCCCCCCCGCCTCACTGTCCTTATCTCTTCAGAGAGGCAGCTGGCGACTCATTACTCATCATTACAGTCTCACAGACTCCGGCTACACATTGAATTTCACTCCTGTTGCTGAATGTCTCTCTCTCCCTCTCTCTCTCTCTCTCTCTCTCTCTCTCTCTCTGGGCTGAAACTTTAATCCAAAATATATTGGAAATGATATTGCTCTCCCCAAGCTATGATCTCGGTCTATTTATGCTTTGTTCTGATGGGGGGGGTGCAGTGTTTCCTGGTCCTGCAGATCAGGAATCAGGAGAAGTTGTTGTTGTTGTTCTGCTGCTGCTTGGACTCGTCTTTTCTGGGGAGATGGTAAAAAAAAAAAATGATGTTGATATAGATTACATTATTTCCTGTCACCACGGCCTGGGTCTGTGTGTGTGTGTGTGTGTCTGGTCTTTATTCGACCTTAACCACGGAGACGTCACCTTCTTGATGCTGTTTTGTCACAGTTAGCTTCGCTGCTAACACGGTAGCTGAGTTTAGTTTAGTGGTCAACTGAGGTACTGCATCAGTGCCTCCCATTCACAGGGTGAGATGTTTTAACTGCTCCTCACCCTCAGACTCACTCACCTGTCTGTAGCTGTCTGTAGCTGTGACCCCAGCGACCTTTGACACCGTGACCTGTGGAGCCGGGAGTGAAGTTAAAGTAGAGAAGTACAACAACTGACGAAGACGACAGTTTGGTTACTCTGGTTAATGTTAGGGCCGTGTGTGTGTGTGTGTGTGTGTGTGTGTGACATTTGTCCGTCTCTCAATTTCAATTCAATTTGCAAAATGCAAATTATTTTTTCTATTTGCATCTCCTCCTCACTGTTTTTTTTCTAACTCATTCCCTCTCACACACACACACACACACACACACACACACACACATAAACCAATCAGCATCCTGTTCTGATCGTCGGCTGCCTAGCAACCAGACCCCCGACCCAGGACTCTGCTTCACAGACTCACAGGCTCGTGTTTCACTGCCACCCACCAACACGCCGCTCAGGAATGAAGACACAGATAGCCCCCCCCCCACTCTCTGCCCCCCCCACTCTGTGCAGGGAGGGGGTGTCACCCGCCATCCGTCTCCTTTTTTCATCTCTGATTGGAGGCTTTTTGAA